TAAAAAGAGAAGAGTCACAATGGTTTTGAACAAATTTATGAGTGAGAAGAAAGTTGGAGAAGGTAGAGAACCAAGCTCTAGGAGCTTGCTTTAAACCATAGAGGGCCTTGTGTAACTTGCAAACAAGCTGAGATTGATTAGGTTGAACAAAACCTTGAGGTTGGACCATATAAACTTCTTCTTCAAGAACACCATGGAGAAATGCATTAGATACATCAAGCTGCTTGATGGGCCAATCCAAATGTAGAGCAATCAAAATGTAGAGCAAGACATAACAGAATTCTGATAGTTGGTTGCTTAGCGACAGGACTAAAAGTCCCATGATAGTCCACCCCTTCAGTTTGACGAAAACCCTTAGCAACTAACCTTGCCTTATATCTGGCTATAGAACCATCAGAATTTTTCTTGATTCTATAAACCCATTTGCAGCCTATTGCTTGTTTTCTAGGTGGAAGATCAACTAAAGACCAAGTGCCTTGTTTTTGTAATTCTTGAAATTCTTCAAGCATAGCAGTCTGCCAAACAGAGGAAGAAATTGCTTGTTGATAGGTTTGTGGTGTAGACTGAGGAGAGGAAGAAGAAAGACAAGCAGTGAGAGAAGAATGAGGAAAATTTAATTTGGATCTGGTAATCATGGGATGAGTATTGGAAGAAATACAGGGAAGATCAATAGAAATTTTAGAAATAGCAATCTGATCAGATGGAACTGTGGATAGAAGAGGAACAGAAATGGAAGAGACTGGGTGAGCTTCTGGCTGAGTTTCAGGAGCAGAAGAAGAAGCTGCCTGGGCTGAAGAAAAGTCAGCAGTATGAGAGAAAATTGATGGCTTGAGTGAGGTTGAAGGAAGGTCAGTAGTAGGAGAGAAAATTGATGGCTGAGCTGCTGACTGAGGGACATCAGCAGGTGAAGCTTGAGAAGAATGTGTATGTTGACATTATGTGAACCATCAAAGTAAAGAGAAGTTGAGTTCTTGATATTATTCTTATTAACAAATCAGATACAGAGAAGATCTATTTATATACAACAATAGGTAATGGGTAACCTGACCATAACTGCCTAACCAACACTTAACTACTTGTGGTTAATTCCTAACAAACTAACTACCTCTACCTTATTTACACATGTGCTAGAATGCGTTGGTACACTGCAGCATGTGGAGCTTGCTGCACGACTGGAGATGTCTTGGCTGAAGCCTTGGCTTGAGTGGACTGAGTGGCTGGTGGCTTATTTGGTGGCTTATTAGGTTGCTTATCACAAAGCCGCCCCTTGACACACCACTTAAGCCACCCCCTGGTGCACCCTTTCATAGGCCGCGCCCATGGCGCACTCTTTCATATATCACTGTTCAGTACCACGTCATAAGTTATGTGTATGTCACGTCTACTGGTTCAACATCCATTCCTGTTCAAGTACCTCTCAAGGCCCATCACATCAATGCCTCCGAAGGCCCCTAGCAGGCCCTTATAATTTACCCTACCAGCAAGCTCTTCTTCATTGCCCATAGTAGGCCTTTTCGTTTGCCCCTAACAACATGCTCTTTCGTTTGCCCTCGTAGGAAACTCTCATTTATTTTTGTTTTGTTCTTCCAAACTCAAGTTAGTTTACCTACTTGAGTTTGGGGGGCTGTTAAAGAATATCTATAATATATTACTTTTCATATTTGTTAGGTTTTCATATTTCTATATGTTTCCTTATTCTCATAGTTTCTTGATTAACATTCTATATAAGTCTTATGTATAAGTCACCTCGTGTAATAGTTCAATATAACAATATAATATACAACATTATTCAATATACATATATTCTCTTTTCTCTATCTCTCTCTATACAATTATCTTAACATGGTATCAGAACTATAAGATCTAGCCTATCTTTCTGGTTCACTGGCGAGAGGCCAATTGGCAACCTTACCTTCGTTGCCCGTTGGAGTTTCAACACATACCTGTGTTAATCCCAATCTCTAATAACCAATCAACCACCATCTCCGCCGCGATCGTCAAATCTCAATCTTCTGCTCTTTCAATATATATCTGAATCTAAATCAAAATTCATTTATTTATTGTGTTTCCGCACTTTCTCTTAGTTCTCTCTCTTTCAATCTCAAATAGGTTTCTATCTTAAAACCTATTTGAGTTTGAGGGGGGTAGTATCCCTATATCATGGTGAGCATTGTGATACATTATGTGAACCATCAAAGTAAAGAGAAGTTGAGTTCTTGATATTATTCGTATTAACAAATCAGATACAGAGAAGATCTATTTATATACAACAGTAGGTAATGGGTAACCTGACCATAACTGCCTAACCAACACTTAACTACTTGTGGTTAATTCCTAACAAACTAACTACCTCTACCTTATTTACACATGTGCTAGAATGCGTTGGTACACTGCAGCATGTGGAGCTTGCTGCACGACTGGAGATGTCTTGGCTGAAGCCTTGGCTTGAGTGGACTGAGTGGCTGGTGGCTTATTTGGTGGCTTATTAGGTTGCTTATCACAAAGCCGCCCCTTGACACACCACTTAAGCCACCCCCTGGTGCACCCTTTCATAGGCCGCGCCCATGGCGCACTCTTTCATATATCACTGTTCAGTACCACGTCATAAGTTATGTGTATGTCACGTCTACTGGTTCAACATCCATTCCTGTTCAAGTACCTCTCAAGGCCCATCACATCAATGCCTCCGAAGGCCCCTAGCAGGCCCTTATAATTTACCCTACCAGCAAGCTCTTCTTCATTGCCCATAGTAGGCCTTTTCGTTTGCCCCTAACAACATGCTCTTTCGTTTGCCCTCGTAGGAAACTCTCATTTTGTTTTGTTTTGTTCTTCCAAACTCAAGTTAGTTTACCTACTTGAGTTTGAGGGGGGCTATTAAAGCATGTCTAGAATATATTATTTTTCATATTTGTTAGGTTTCATTTGTCTATAGGTTTCCTTATTCTCAAAATTTCTTGATTAGCATTTCATATAAGTCCTATATATAGACCACCTTTTGTAATAGTTCAATACAACAATATTATACAACATTATTCAATATATAGATTTTATCTTTTCTCTCTCTTTTTTCTTCTCTCTCCATACAATTATCTTAATATAGTATCAGAGCTATAAAATTCCGGTATGTGTTTCTTTCCAGTCTGTGTTTCCTTTGCTGCCCACTAGAGTTTTTTTTTTAGACATACCGGTGTTTGTCCCAATCTCCAGAAACCAATAAACCACGATGTCCTCTGCTGGTCCAATCCCAGCCTTCTGCTCCTTTATCACTCAAAATCCTTTTTTTTTTTTTGGTGCTTCCGCACTCTCTCTCAGTTCTCTCCGTTTCAACCTCAAATAGGTTTCTATTTTAAAACCTATTTGAGTTTGAGACGTGCAAAATGTCATCGGTGCCGCTTCACGGTTGTATCCATCGTGTAAGGAGGGCTTCGCTTCTCGGTCCAACCCTTGATCTGCGAATTTTTGAGGCAGACAAGGCTTTGTCCGACCCAAGTCTCGAACAACACGTATAAGATAATAAACGGTGTGGCCGAGCTGAATAGGAGGCTCGGTCTAAATCTCGGTCTCGCCGAGATATTACATCAATACAGCCTTAGCAAAAATAAGGGTGGGTTTTGCTGGTACCTGAAGGTCAAGAAGGGCCGAGCAAAATTCATTGAGGGTAACCCTGATAAGGAAACAAACGACGATGACTTCTTGTGGGTGTCCGGTCGTTATGAGGACACCGAGGCGCCCATACCGGGCTGGTATATTAGGAAAGATTTTGGCAGTGCTGGTGAGTAGCTCGGCAAACCGCGTTACTTTCTTTTTGCATTGATTTTCTTCTTGCCGATCTAACACTTGTCCTCTTTTTTGTAGATTACAAGCTCTTGGCCGACGACTACTCCCGAGCTAATCAAGAGGCCATCAGAGTTCTGCTGCGTCATCCGGTCGAGGAAAGAGAATCACCGAAGCTGCTCGGCTTTGAACTGACCTACCATTACATAGCGCCGCGCAAAAGCAGGGTGACCGACTTTCTTCGTGCACCTTTCCTAGAACCAGATCCAAATCTTCCACTGATCAGACTTGTTCCTCTTACTGCCGAGCAAGAAATGACCAAAATCCGGGCAATCAAATCGATGATTACTGGTGAGCCCAGCGACTCCCAGCCACTAGAGGCATCTGGGGGGACTTCCTCCACTCCGGTTGCACAAGAGGAGGGGGCTGTGCTGGCTCTTGCCAGCGAACAAGCATCTGGCCGGTCGAAGAAGCGGCCGAGAAAAGATCTGGCCGGACAACATCTGGTGGACAAAGACTCCACCGAGCAGGCTTCGACTGACTTGGGGGACCAGACCGAACAACCAATCGGCGGGCCATCCAAGAGCCCAAATGCCCCCCTAAGTCTGGTCGCCCGAATTCAAGTACAAAGGCCGGGCTGTCTCTGCGGCGAATTCTGTTTACGCGGACAAGGATTATTCCCTCAGTTTCAACATGACCAAGGGGCTGATCTTTCCCGCCGACATGAAGAAGCACGACGAGCTGTCCGACCTGAAGGTGCTTCGCTCGGCGGCTAAATCGATCGTTTTGGTAAGTTCTCCAATCTTTTCGTCAAGTTATTGCTTGATTTTTGCTCGATTTTCTGAATTCTTACAATCTTTCATTTGTTTTCAGGCCGCGCAAAAGAACTATTTAGCACACGATCGAATGATCACAATACGGCAGAGCCTGCGGGATGCCATTGCTGAAAACAAGGCCAAAACGGCCGAAATAGCCAAGTTGAAGGCCGCACAAGAGGCGACCGAGGCCAAGCGTGATACGCTAAGCCAGAAGTTGGACCGGGCTCAAGTGGACAAACAACGGGCCGTGAAGACGACGAAGGCTCGGTACCTCGCCGAGCTACGCAAACTGCGCGATGCCCACAAGGAAGAGAAAGACAAGGCGGTTGATGATGCCGAGGACCAGGGGTACGTGCAGGGCGAAAAGACCTGTGAGCGGCAAGTTCAGGCTACTAAGGACACCTTTTTCCAGTGCGGTTGGAAAGCTGTCGTGGAAAAAGTTAGCCTTGGTCAAGACGCTGATATGTTCCTGAATCCCCCTGCAGCCTATATCCCGGTCTACATGCAGGCGTATGCTAATGCTGCTCAAAATTGGCTCATTGAAGAGGCAAAGAAAGCGGCCGAGGAAGAAGCCGCCACCGCGCAACAAATCGAGCAAACTTCTCCCGAAGCATCTCAAGATGTCGAAGGTCAAGTGGCTGATCGGGAGGTTGTCGCGGTGGAAGGCGCTGATGACGAGGCTGCGGATGGGTTGTCCGAGCAAACGGTTGAGGTCGCCGAGCAGACGGTTGATCGAGCTAGATTGATGTGTATTTTCTTTGCTTTGTTTTTGTTTCTTTTCTTTCTTTTTTGAATGTAACCAGGCTAGGCCTCACCTTTGTAATGTAATTTCCTTAATCAATGAGAATTTGAACCTTTTGCTCGTTGATCTTCTATTTCTGTTCGGTTGCAAAGTTCATTATTTCTTCATTCGAATGTTCTGGGATTACAACTGGTAGGTCGGCTATGTTGTGCAATATGCCAAGCTAAAATTAGACTTCCCTCAACTTAAATGTTCACAAATCGCAACTGGTAGCCTGGCTCCTATATGTTGCAAACAAACCTAGACATTTTCGTACGGCCGAGTAAAATCAACTCGACTATAAGTTGGGCAAATCATGAACATTTAGAGTTGGGCGAGCAAAAATCAGTTCGGTCCTTGGAAATGCGACAATAGGCTACCATTTCGATGTGACTGAGCTAAACCGTCTCAGCCTTTATAGGTTAGGAAAAACATCCAATATTTCATTTTGGCCGAGCAAAAATCACCTCGGCCCCTCTCAGTTTGATAAAACGCCAAGCATCATGGCCCTTTCGCCAAGCGAAAATCATCTCGGCCTTCTTAGATTGGCGGAACACCAATATTGTCCATGTGGCCGAGCAAAATCAGCTCGGCCTGTTTGTGTTGCGTAAAACGCCAACATTTTATTTGTCTGAGCAAAGTCAGCTTGGCTCTTGTAAGTTGGACAAGACACCAACATTTCGTTGGGCCGAGCAAAGTCAGCTCGGCTCTTTTCAGTTGGACAAAGCACCAACATTTCGATTTAGCCGAGCAAAATCAGCTCGGCCTTTGGATTGGTCAGAACACCAATATTTCATTTAAGTTGGTCATGACGCCAACATCCCAATTGGGCGAGCAAAAATCAGCTCGGACCTTATGCAAATTGGACAATACACCAATTGTTTAACTAGACAATACACCAACTGTTTGTGCGGACTGTTTCTATACCGGTGAGAGGAGATCAGTTCGGCCCCTTTCAGGTTGGTCTCCCTACCCCTAGCATCCTCAGAGGCCTAATATCCTTGCAAATCACATAGTATAAACAAAAGGTAGAGACATTTTTCATTGCAAAGAGCAGTGCTATCCTTACATCGAATGCCAGAAGGCTAAAGGTCTAGAAAGCTAAGTAACAAAAGCGATTACATTTCAAAAGTAAAAGATCTTAAGGTTGGCTGCATTCCATGGTCTGGGGACAGCTTTGCCATCTAAATTTTCCAGATGATACGCCTCTTTGCCAGCGAGGCCAGTCACCTTGTATGGTCCTTCCCAATTTGCACTGAGCTTTCCTTCGCCATGGACCACCGTGTTGCCCAGCACCTTTCTTAAGACCCAGTCCCCGATCTTGAATAACTTGGGGTGCACCGCCTTGTTGTATTTCTTGGAGAGTTCTTGTTGATAAGCTGAGATGTGGATTAGTGCCCGCTCCCTTCTTTCCTCGGTAAGGTCTAATTCCAATGCCACGGCTTTATTATTCAGATCAGGCTGGAAACTTTCAGAGCGGATGGTTGGCATGCCAATTTCCAACGGGATGACTGCCTCCGTGCCGTATGCCAAAGCGAATGGTGTTTAACGCCTTGGCGTAGTACGGTACGCCCAGAGTACATTAGGGAGTTCTTCGGCCCACTTCCCCTTGGCCTTCTCAAGCCGCTTCTTCAGCCTGTCCAGGATGGTCCTGTTTGAGGCCTCTGCTTGACCATTTGACTGAGGATAGGCCGGCGTTGAATTGTAGAACTCGATCTTCAACTCTTCGCAAAATCCGCGAAAGAGTTTCCCATCGAATTGAGTGCCATTATCCGAGATGAGGGCCTTGAGTATATCGAAGCGAGTGATAACATTTTGCCAGACAAACTTCTTCACATCCTTTTCTTTTATGGTCACCAATGGCTCGGCCTTAACCCACTTTGTGAAGTAGTCAGTGGCGGCGATGAAGAATTTGCGATTGCCTGGGGCTGCTGGGAGTGGCCCCACTATATCCAATCCCCAGAGTGCGAACGGCCAAGGACTTATAAGGGGGAGCAATTCTCTCGTTGGCTGGTGGATCTGGTGAGCAAATTTCTGACACTTTTCACATTGGCGAACGTATTTCTGCGCGTCTGCCTGCATGCACGGCCACCAATAACCCTGGGAAATTGTTCGGTAAGCCAAAGACCTACCCCCAGTATAGCTGCCGCAGATGCCTTCATGGATCTCATAAAGGAAGGCTTCCACCTTGGCGGGGTGGACACACTTCAGATACGGCCCAGTAAAAGACTTCTTATACAAGGCTCCGGATGGGAAGAGCCAAAACCGCTCTGACTTGGCTTGGATCTTGTTGGCCGCCTTTTTGTCTTCTGGTAGGACTCTATCTTTCAGGAAGGCAATGATGGGGTCCATCTAGGAAGGACCCAAGTCTGTGCAGAGTACCTCGATCACTTCTAGTTCCTCAATGCTTGGCCGAGGTAAAAATTCTATCATCAAGGGGTTAGGAAAAGCTGTCTGAGTAAAAGCAAGTCCGGCCAATTCATCAGCCACGTTGTTTTCTTCGCGGTTGGTTTGTTCCATCTTTATTGCGGCGAACTTCTTGATCTCTGCGCGTACCAGCGCCTGATACTTGGCCATTCTTTCGTCCCTTGCCTTATACTCCCCTGAGACCTGATTGACCACCAACTTGGAATCGCTGAATACCATAAGCGCTGACGCCTTCATTCTTAATGCGCTTCTTAGTCCGGCAAGGAGGGCTTCATACTCCGCTTCGTTGTTGGATGCTGGGAAGCCGAGCGTAATTGCCTGCTCGATAATCAGCCCATCCGGTGAAGTCAGTACAATACCCAGCCCAACCCCATGTCTGTTGGATGCCCCATCGACGAAGAGTTTCCATATCTCACCAATAAATAGCTTCCAGCAATCAGAGGGGTTCTGGGAGCTTCTCAATTCCAAGTCTCTGATCGGTTCATTCTGGTCTCTTTCCTTGCCTTGGTTGAGTCCGTCTTCCAAGAAGTCACCCGGCTCCTCTAGTTCGGTCGCTCTTCGCCCTTCTCCCACTTGTGAGCCAGCACTTGTCTCTATTGCCAGAACCATGGGCTGCGTTAAATTCGCACCAGCCAAATCAGCCAGGCAAACTGGATGCGTTCCAGGGGCAAATTCCGCCACAAAGTCTGCAAGAGCTTGAGCCTTGATTGCGGTGCGCGGGCGGAACTTGATATCGTACTGCCCCAATTCCACGGCCCATTTCAAAATTCTTCCGGTGAAGTCTGTCTTTTCAAAAAGCACCTTAAGTGGAAACTCGGTTAACACAACTATTGTGTGGGTATGAAAATAGTGCACCAGCTTTCTTGATGCCATCATCAGGGCCAGCGCTAATTTTTCCAACGGAAGATATCTCGTCTCGGCCGGGAGCATAGTCTTGCTTACATAGAAGATGGGCAAGTGCTGAATGCCTTCAGCACGGACTAGAACGGCGCTCACAGCATGTTGAGAGACTGCCAAGTAGAGATACAACTCTTCGCCCGGCCGAGGTGTGACTAAGGGGCTGAGGAAAGGTATATTTTTAAGTCTGCCAGTGCACGGTCACATTCGTCATCCCAGAAGAACTTGGCCTTCAAAGTTTTAAAGAAGGGCCTGCAACGATCTGAAGACCGGCTGATAAATCTATTCAGCGCGGCTGCCATCCCGGCAAGATGTTGCACGTCTTTCGTGGAGTTTGGGCGCTCCAGCTCTTGTATAGCCTTGATCTGTGATGGGTCGGCTTCAATCCCTCGGTTTGTGACTAGAAAACCCAGAAACTTCCCGGTGCCGACTCCGAAGGCGTACTTGGAGGCATTTAAACGAAGTTTGTGGTGCTTAAGTATGGCAAATATTTCTGTTAGGTCGGTGAGGTGTTGAGACTTCTCCTTACTCTTTACCACTATATCATCGATGTAGGCCCTAAAAGAGGAGCGAAGATCTTTGTCACCATCCTCTGAAAAGTTGCCTTGGCGTTCTTCAGTCCGAACTGCATGACTTTATAACAATACAAGCCTCTAGGAGTAGTGAACGACGTGATCTCTCGGTCCGGTTCATACATGGCTATCTGGTGGTAGCCGCGATACACATCCAGGAAGCTAAACCTCTGATGGCCAGCGGCCAAGTCCACCAGCTGGTCAATTCGAGGGAGGGGGAAGCTATCCTTTGGGCATGCACGGTTGACCGTCTTGTAGTCAATGCAGGCTCGCCGTTTGCCATTCTTTTTCGGGACCACCACCGTGTTGGATATCCATCGAGGGTATTGCACTTCTTCTATCGCTCCTGCTTTCAACAAATTTTTGACCTCCTCTGCCACTACCTCAGCATGGTGCAGAGCCGAGCGGCGAGCCCTCTGAATGACCGGCCGTGCATTAGGGAAGACATTCAATTGGTGGCAAATAAAGCTGGGGTCGACGCTAGGCATGTCGTAAGGCGTCCATGCAAAAGCCTCCAAATTGCAGACCAAGAAGTTGACATAATCTAACCACTCGGCGCTAGACAAAGATGATCCCAAGAGGAAGAACTTAGTTGGGTCGTTCTCGTCGATGCGCACTTCCACCAAATCCTCGACCGATTTTTCCTCGGCCTTTCTTTCTACGTCTTCAAGGACCTCCTTTCCCTCGGGTCCCGCAATCATTTGGACAAACCCTTTGGCTGCTCGGCTGCCATTTACCGCAACGAAGCATTGTTTTGCCATCACCTGGTCTCCCTAAACCTCTTCGATCTGCTCGGTGGGCGCCGGAAAGCGCATAACTTGATGGAAGGTTGACGCAACTGCTTGCATGGCGTGTAACTAGCCCCTTCCCAAAATTAAGTTGTAAGTGGATGGAACCTTGAGCACCCAGAATTCCACTTGCTTTACGACCGAACCCGCTTTGACCGGCAAAATGATCTTTCCGATCGGCCATTTTGGCTGAGAGTTGAAGCCAACCAAAGGGGACGTCGCAGGGGCCAAGTCCTTGTCCTCCAACTTCATTTGTTTGAACACATCATAATACATAATTTCGACCGAACTCCCCTGGTCGATCAAGATTCTCTTGATGTCAAAGTCTTTGATGCGAAGAGTTACTACTAGGGCATCATTGTGGGGCATCTGGATCCTTTCCAAATCCTTGCTCGAGAAGGCAAGGATGTCTTTCTCCTCGGTCTTTTCCTTTTTCACAGCGGGCTGGACGGAGAGCACTTCCCTCATGTGCTCGGCTTTCTTAATTATCCCTCTAAGCTCGCAAACCCTTGCTGGTTCAATGATGCCATGGATGACGTTGATTACACCTTGCGGCGCCGCGTCCAGGGCGGCTAGGCCGTTTGGTTGGGTTTGTCCCTACAGGGCGGCTTTCATATCCCCATCTATGTATTGGTCAAGATGCCCCGCTGCCACCAGCTCCTCCAGATGTTGTTTGAGCGGCAAGCAGTCCTCTGTTCGGTGCCCCCGTTCTTCATGGAAGGTGCAGCGATATTTTGAATTGAAGCCTCTCTGTGCACTTCCTAACTTGGTCGGCCAGCGGACAAAAGGCTCACCTCGGATCTCGCTCAAAATGCGGTAGATAGGGATTTTAAAGACCGTAGTGATTCCAGTCTGCGCCTTCAATTTTCTCTTGGCATCCTCCGTTGTATCACGAGGAGCGTCAACTCGGTCGTTTCTACGGCCTTTGTTTTTGTTATCGCGGTTTGGGTCACGACGTTGATCTTTTGACCGGTCGCTTGGGCGATTATCCTCCCACTCAACCGAGTTTTCCCCGCCACCCTTTTGTCCGCCGCGACCGGATTAGCCTTCTCGGTCGCGGAGGCGGCATCATCCTCCACACGAATGTGCTCATTTATTCGTTACATCAAGGACTCCATGGTTGTGGGTTGGTGCATCGTGAGCGAATCTCGTAGCCTATATCCGACTGGGAGACCCCGTTTGTACTAAGTGATAGCCAGATTGGTAGGGCAGTCGAGGATCTCGTTGTAAGTTTCCCAGTACTTCGCGTTGTATGCCTTCAATGATCCTCCTGACTCCATCTTGACGCCCAGAAGATGATCGACCTCCTTCGGCGTTCGAGTGTTGGTTTTGAATCTGGTGACGAAGGCTTCCGCTAGTTGCTGCCACCCCTCGATACTTCCCTCTGAAAGCCTTTCGAACCACTTCAAGCCCAGTTCTCCTTAGCTTGCCGGGAATATGAGGCTCATTAAGGTGTCATTGTGCCGGTGGCCAGCCATTACTTGTCAGTAATGACTCACGTGCATGTACGGATCCGTCTTGCTGTCGTACAAGGTGAACTTAGGCTGGTGGAATCCGACAGGGAGTGGTGTACTCTCGATTTCCGGAGACAACGGCGTGGCTGTAAGTCTCGCTAGCTCTTTGTCCACTGGCGCATGGGCCATCACTCTGGGCACTGGCATCGCCACTTCTTCGCTACAATGAACTAGGGCGCTCAATCTCTGCAACGCCGACACTTTTTGAGCCTCTCGACGGCGCGCCCTCTCCTCCAATACATCCCTCAGGTCTCTGGAACGGGTGGAGAAAGAGTATCGCGACGTTGGTGACGGGCGTGAGGGGCGATATGTGCTGTCTCGAGTGAGGGATCTGCCATCTCTTTGGTCGGAATCTCCAACCCCATAGTTCCTGGTGATGGAGAAAGAATGAGTCCTCTCCTGGCGGCGATTGCTAGAACGGGGGGACGGGGTGCGCTCACTGAGGTTGCCCTCTCCAGCAACACCCTTCCCCTTAATCTGACGTTTCAGCATCTCCATCTCCGCCGCCATCTTGCGAATGAGGGCATCTTGGTCTTTGAGTTTGTGCCCCAGGCGCTGCGCACGGGACTCCCCCCGCCGCCGACGGCCCTCTGGACTCTCCGAGCGATCAGTACTCCTTCCGTGTTTGTCTCGCGCACCTCGCGAAGAAGTTTCTAGGCCCGCCATGGCTGGAATATTCAGGGGGCCTTCTCTCCATCAGACAGACTCTAGTGTGACGCCATCGACGACGGACAGTGGAGTTTCGTCGTTGTTGGCTATGGAGATGGTCGAAGAAGCTTGAAAAACAAGGTTTGAGTATCAAAGAGTTTCCCACAGACGGCGCCAATTGTACCGGGGGGGGAATATCCTCTACTTTCCGTACTCCTTGGACTCCAAGCTTCACGTGACGGCGTCTAACCTGGCAACACAGAGAACGGTGAGCTGCCGGCGGTGGTGTGCCAGATAGGCCATCTGACGATCAAGTCAGATCACTTGAGGAAGAAGAAGGCTGTTAGAGAGAGAGAGTGCGTTTCAGATGGCGCAAGTTGCTTACCTCTAACGTTCATCTTCCCTTCCTTTTTCTAGGCTGGCCATGCAGCCTCAAGATTGTGCGCGCACTACCTCTGCTGTCCTTCCCTGGACAGGTGGCAGTGCTCGCCTCCCACTACCTTACACGTGTAAAGGCCAAATCCTCCACCCAGTACATGCAAAACTGCCAAACGGTACTAACGCGTGCCTGGAGCATATTTCCTTTCCCTCACGCCATTGGCCCAAGTGGCACACCTGACCGGCATACCAAAACCGGCCTATTCCTTGGAGAAAATCACAACCACAGAGAACATGACCGAGCTTCCGAGCTATCCGGTCGGGCGCACGCCGACCACCCTCCTGGTCCAAACTCTCTGGGTTAACTGAAGGTGAAGCGTGCTAGTCCTCTTCTCGGCCTAGACTCATTCCGGATTGTCATTTGCTCGGTTGTGCCGTTCTAACGCACGCCCATCGCCGAACGTCTAGCAGTCACAGCTCGACCAGGCTTTAGACCATGCCTGGTCGGCCAACCTACCTCGGCCGTGTACGACAGGCCGGAGGGCTGCGCTAATTGAGAAGATAGCTCGGCACCGTGAGGTTTGCCCCACCCGCGTTACCGTAGCTCGGCCGTACTGTCTGGCGCAAATCTCTCCTCTCAATTTATTTATTTTTTTGGGTAATACCTAAATGGGGCAATATGCACAAAATTGGATGTGGTTATGGGTTCAGGTTAGGTTGAGCTGGTCTCTAGACTACCCGATTAGGCTAAAGTATCAACCTTGTTTATATTTGTAGGTTTTGATTATTTATTGTAATATAAAGTTGTTAATCAAATCAATATGATACCGATGTATTTCAATTGGATGTGTCATGTGTGAAGTGAAGTCTCGCCAAAAAAAAAAAAAAAAAGGCCAAATGCCAGTAGTCCGCCGGTAGCCCGTAGAGGATGAAGAAGGTGAAAATAGCATTGCAAAAGTTTTTTTGTTTTTTTTGGTACCCTTTATTTTGTTTTTGTTTTTGTTTTTGTTTTTGTTTCTTTTAGTCCTAAATGATGTCGCTTGATTGTGCCTTTTAAAAAACATTTTCACCTTTTGTAATAGTTCTGTTTTACAGATATTCGCACGAGTGTAAAATTTTCTCCAATCTAGTGAAAGAAAGACGAAAAGACATGACATTACTTGCATATGGGCGACTCATTTGTTGTCCATATATATGCAATATTTAAGAAAATAACAATAAAATGAAATCATATACGCACAAGTAACAGTAAAAAAAAAGAAAAGAAAAGAAAAGAAAAATGAATAATATCCCTGATCTTGCCATGTTTGGGCGAACTCAAATCTACTACATCATAGATTTCATTGGAATATAACTAGTTGAACTATGTGCTTACATCCCATCTTAAAAAAAAAGAACCAAAAAAAAAAAAAAAAACATATATGCTTACATAACCTATTTAATTGCACCATCAAAATGTGGTTCTTAATTAAATTTCTTTTTTCCTTCAAATAATTCGTCGATCGGCTAGTAGCTACGGTGATATCATGCTATCATTGACAGATGGTATTATCATCTAATAAATATATTATATTCCATTATACGTGTGTGATAATTATTTAATTAGCATTTATATTTAAATTGTAAAGTTTATCATCCCAAGTATTATATTAGCTGATAATATGATACATCAATGATAATGTGATAAGATCATAAAATTAAATTTTTACTTCTTACTTAGATCAATATATATATACAAAAATTATAGCAGGGTACCACTTCACCCTCCATCCTCTTCCCTCTAAAATATAAATCTTATATGATATTCTTATCTTGTACGAAGAATCAATAAATATATATTGATGACAAAACTAGAATGAGGGAACTTATAAATCAAAAAGGAAAATATTTGACTTTTAAAAAGTATTCATAATTATACATATAATAATGTCATAAAATATGTGTTAATTTTTAATTCAGTTCCGTTTTGTAGCTCGAATTTTATTTGGCTCGAGTAGCTCGACTGCCCAAAACAATGTCGTTTTGAGCATTTTTTTTTTCTTCCTTTCCTCTCTGCAGATGAAGGAGGAGGAGGAGGAGGAGGAGAGGAAAGGGAGCTGAGAGCATATCAACCTCATCATCAACAACAACAACAAACAGAACAGAGAGAGAAAGATATAGATCTATACACATCATCATCAACAGAGAGAGAGAGAGAGAGAGAGAGAGAGAGAGAGAGATAGATCTATACACACACAGAACACAAAGAGAGAGAGATCTATACACACAGAGAGAGAGAGAGAGAGATCTATACACACATACAAACACAGAAAGACATACACAGATCTATGTATCTGTGTATACACAGATCTGTTGATGATGGCGCGGTGATGGCCCCGGTGATGGTTCCTCTCTCTCACCTCTTCTCTCTTCCTCTTCTTTTCTTCTCCTTAT